ACACACACACACACACACACACACACACACACACACACACACACACACATACTGACAATCACTAAAAACACAGGTGGTAATGAGAGAGCGGCATGGCAATTACTAATATATTGTATTACTAAAAAAATAAATCAATAAATACAAATAAAAAGTCAAATGTGAGGTATCAACTCTTCTGGGAATTTCATTTTTTTCACTGTAGATTTTCACTGTAAATTCTAATATGACTTTTTTCACTTCCAAAAACTGAAAAATCTGTAAAAAAGACTTGAAATGTCTCTTTCTATTACAGTTTTTCATCATGGGAACTAACCATTAACTAACTAAAGAGTTTTTGTGAGTAAATGTCCTAGAATGAATGGGTTTGACAATGTCCAGACACAAATTACCTAATGCTTGCATGGGCAGCTTTTCCAGTCCGTTTTATGACTGGGAATTGGATAATTCACAAACTATTTCTTACTTTAATACAAGATCCATTGTGCTTATCATAATATACAGTAAAGTATTATTTAAAGATATTATTCAACAAGACTTTTTTTGGAAACCGTGAAATTGAAAGGGGAAAACCCTTAATTTCTCCTATTATTTCTCCTACTAGATGTCTTCATAAAAACAATGAGGATTTTGTGTTCATCTACACAGAAACTATAGACATCTGCATCCAACTGTCACCACAGTGACCAAACATCCAGCCGACAGACGACTGTAACCAGAGGAGGAGAGTTAAACATTAAACACTGTGTTATTATTATAGCAAACAAACCTAATTACCAATAACCCTGTTTAATGCACTTACATAACACATGTTTGGCCTTCGTTTTAAACCTCATGATATCATGCCCTCATTCTATAAGCTTCAAAATCACCAAAGCTGCTGCAAAATTTTTAAAAAGGTCACTTTTACTTCTCATCATGTGAGTGCACTTTAATGTTTACAGGACCCCTTCATAGATGACAGCATAATTGTGCAAATCTGTGTTTCATCCCCCATCTGGAAACACTTAAATCTCCCAGCATTCCTGGGTGCATTTGAGTATTAGCTGTTATTGTTACTGCAACAGCAGCACTGCATCATGGGACATGATCCAGGCCTGCAGGCCAGAAAGATCTATACGTCGCTTGGATTTCCACGGAAATTCAATATGAATTCCACACGCACCCTTCTGAGACACTCCCAGTCATGAAGGGAAAAAGCACAAAATGACACAAAGTTGAAGGAAATGCATTCAACACGTGGCTGTGTTGCCTTCAAATGTGTGACAGAAGTGTGAGAGATGCCAGATCAGGTGCTACTGCCCACTATAGAGCCTGGATGAAGTGGCACCAAGGTGCCATCAGGTCAAAGAGTAGTAGCCAATTCCCAGAAATGCCAGTCATCATGCTGTACTTCACAAAGACACTCCAAATGTTTCAGTGGAGAATACAAGAAAAGACTGGAGAGAATCTCGGGATAGAATTTGATATAAATTGCACTGGCAAAGAAAAATAGCCTAAAGTTAGGCCTAAATCTCAAAACCATGGAAAGTCAAAGCATAACTTTCATGTAAGTGACATGACTTATTTTCAACCCTAGGGTAAAACTGAGTAATATCTGTTATCTCATACCAGTAATGCACATATCCGAGGTCAGACGAACCCCTTAAACCATTTTACATCCGTTGAACCCTCATGGCCCATGTTTTAATCAGTGCGTTATCTGGCAATCATTTTCACAGGGATCAATGTGCTCTGTAATATTATATAGTACTCCAACTGCCCTGCCTGTGAGTGCTGTGTAATCCTGAGGAAATGGGATCCTAAACTCACTGTCAGGACTGTGGATTAGGTTGGAGACCCGGCGAGCTGCGCTTCTCGGACACATGATGGTGTGTCGTTCTGCTGCAAGTGACCGCACTGAGACCTTAGTTTCATAACTAATTTCTGTCTTTGCTGCTCTGGCCATGGGTTACTAAAGTTAATAATATAATGTTGTTAAAAAATAACAAGTCAGCAGATAGGACATTTGGACATTTACTGGCACATACTTAGCAAGATGGATGTGACGCATGTGAGGAGCAAGGATAGTCCTATGACAAACAAATCCTGCAGGAATCTGTCCCTAGGAAGTGGAATTTAATATATGCCACTAATAATAGAAGCACATCTGAAAAAGTCATTGAATAAAACCTTAAAGGGAAAGTTCACTGGAGAACGTAAAAATATACTCTACTGTTCAAAAGTTGGATCAGTAATTTTTTTTTAAATAAATAAATAGTTTTATTGAGCAAGGATGCATTAAATTGTTCAAAAGTGACAGTTAAGGCATTTATAAATTTACAAAAGATTTATATTTCTATTATTAAATAAACTCATTCATCAAAGAATCCTGAAAAAAAAATGTATCACAGTTTCCAGAAAAATATGGAGCAGCACAACTGTTTTTTATAATAATAATAATAATAATAATAATGATGATGATGATGATGATGATGATGTTTTAATCTGCATATTATGATTTCTGAAGGATCATGTGACACTGGAAACTAGAGTAATGATGATGAAAATTCAGCTTTGTCATCTCAGGAATAAATTACATTTTAAAATAAATAAAAATAGAAAACAATTATTTTAAAAAATTAATAATATTCAAAAATAATACCTTTTTAACTGTATTTTTCATCCAATAAATGCAGCCTTGGTGAGCATAAGATATCTTAATAAAAAAAAAATCTTTGACCCAAAACCTTTGAATGGTGGTGTACTTCATTTATTTTTAAGAATATGAACCTGCCGATATTCACTGTATGAAAAAAACATTACAGTTTTTTTCCCCATAATATCTTCTTTTGTGTTCCACAGAAGAAAGTCATACAGGTTTGTAATGATTTATGGGTAAGTCAATTACAGATGACAGATTTTTCATTTTTGGGTGAACTGTCCTTTAAAAAAAAAAGCTTCAAGCTGTATTTTATTCCTAAATTATTTTGTTCTAAAACCTCTTAAAAATCCTATAAGAAACAATTCAGAATAACTTGTTTCAGTCATCTGATATAATGAGCCATCTAAAAATATCACATTGCCAGAAATAGAAACTTTTTCAGAATTGTGCTTCAAGAGACTAATTTTTACTGAACATATAAACAATTCCCAGCTTTCCCAGTGTTGTAATTCTCTCCCTGAGAAGCCATGGCTGTCAGAGGTTTGCGACAATCCTCCTGACCCCAGTAATAATCTGGTAAGTGCATGTCGTGTTGATCATCAGGTACATTAAAGGTTCAGTCAGTCTTTGCAGTCTATCACTAATTGATATTTGATGGATTCTTTGAGTGATGCTCAGCTTCAGAAGAGAGAGAACTACTTGATTACCTTCCTCTAAATACACAACATTCTGCACCCCGATGTGAGGACGGAGCAGAACAGAGAGCAAGGGAAAGAAAATGAGGAATGCAATGTCGCAGCCCCCAAAGAAATACCAACGGCTTCTAGACATCTCAGCGTACCTGTAGATCTGTACGTTCTCTTGCTGCTGCCATGGCTGAGTCCCAGACGACTGTCGCTGGTGCTAAACGGCTGAATCAGAGTCCAGATACGCTCAGAGTTCCTCAGAAAGGGAAAGTAGGAAAGATGGTAAAAGCTTTAAAAGAAATTCATGGCACACAGCAAGGACAGCCGTCCAGGCAAACAAGTGTGTTATTCATTCTTTTCTTTAATTCCAGCCCACTCCAACCCACTGGACTGGGTCACATCAAAACTGAGCACTCCTTTGTAAACAGTAAACCAGTCAAATACACTATAGCCAATGTAATCACAGTCTGCAAAGAGAAGGAAGGCTAGATTTAGTCTGTTTCTTGTTCAAGTGCCCAGGCAGTATAATTAGACTCAAATTCCCCCATCCAGTAAAAGGCTACATTCAGAGCTCATCCACTCACCCAACACTTAAAATGCAACATTTTGATATTTTTATAAATGTGTGGCCAATATGTGGTCAGTGGTTTAATATAAAGCACACAAAAAGACCGAATTTGGAAAACAGGCAAACAGTGATAAATTCGATGATGTGTCTAGTGGTTTCAGAGTTAAAATATACCGTCTCCTGCTTGTTTAAAATGCAGAGGCTACTTTAAGTAAGCTCATTTTTCCGAAAAGTGCAAACACTGGCTATTTCAATACTGCTCTATCTGTTTGAGCATTCTGACATGTCAATTTCTGCTTCAACCAATGGCATAAGTTTGGGGTAGAAATGCCTGTTTGGCTGGACAATGGCCGACAGTTTTAAGAAAACTTGTTGGAAACAGCTGTTATTTTTACAATTAGTTGTGCAGAAATGACACACACTCTTAACCATTCAGTCAAAGGTTCTTTAAAGAATCATCTCTTTCTTACCTTTTTATAATCTGAAGAACCTTTTGTGAAAAAGAAAGGTTCTTCAGATGTTAAAGGTTCTTTATGGAACTTTTAGACAAAAAAGTTCTTCTATGGCATCGTGAAGCACCTTTATTTTTAAGAGTGCACTTCGGCTTTAAAGGGATAGTTTATCCAGAAATAAACGTTTTTTTCACTCACCCTCATGTCATTCCAAACCTGTATGACTTTCTGTTTTATGCAACCACAATGAAGGTCTTAAAAAGGACAAAAAGAACCATAAATGTTTCATAAAAACATTATAGATGTAATCCATAAGACGTTTGTGTTATATAACACAATCTTTTAAAGCAATTTGATAGCTTTGTATGACAATCAGACCAAAATTCAAGTGAATCCAGTGAATCATTGGGTTAAAAGAGTTGGATCAGTCTAGTTTCTAATGAATCATCCAATTCATTGAAAAGATTTTTAAAAATTGTAAATGAATTGGATATTGGACCAGATGAACATGAATTGGACCAGTCTAATTACTAAATAAATTATTTGCAAACTTACTCAACTGATTCATTGAAAAGATCTGATTCAAAAGAATGATTCATTCATGAATTAGACACTGCTACTTCTCTCATGAACACATCAAGGAGATCTAAGGTGGATGTCAAGAGTTTTTTTGTGAACAGTGACTTAAATTACAGTTTGTTCTTCACAAAAAAAAATGGCTTCAGAAAACTTGGAATATTGATATATAATTTTGAAGCTTCACATCCCCACTACTCATTCACTTTCATTACATAAAACATCACGTGAGTTTGGAACAACATGAGAGTGAGCGATTTTTTTGGTGAACTATCCTTTCAAGAAATAAGCACATAATCCTCATAACCCATATTAGATTGAAATTTGACTTTTTTTTTTTTTTTTTTTTTCTTCAATGTCTCCCGGTAACAGTAAATATCTTATTTCATACAAAAATATAAGATGAAATCTTATCTTGGGCCTGGATAGATACTTTTAGCTATCAGAGATTTTAGAATAATTTCACATGTCCTTGACATTTATAGTATGGAGGGTGGGACTGGCTCTCCACAAAGACCAAAGTTTGACTCAGTAAACCTAAACTACTGGCTTTTCCAAATCTATTACAACCATCAGTGTCGTAATGCTGCAGACACTTAGGTGTGACCACATATTGTGTGATTAAAACACAATATTATGCATATTGCATTTCAAGCCATCATACACAAACCAGAACACCACAGCGGTGACACACATTACACAGTGGCAGCCGTGTGGTGTTACAAGACACTTTCTTCTGACAATGTGGCCTTGGCATGCTCTCACATATTAGATAACAGCGAGCATTTGGATAAAGCGTGTCCGGTATTAAAGCATGAAATGGATATTTTCATCCAAGACGACAGTGACATGCTTGTTTTCTTGTTAGCAATTATTCAAACGAGGCACATAACGTCCCATTATGCAGTCACAATAGTGATTTGACTCACAAAGTCACCAGGGAGAATAATAATTGCTGTAATTACAGACACAGAGAGGATTGGCTAAAGAAAAGCATCAAACGAAGCTGAAGAACAGCCTCCATTAAGGGTGTGGATTGACAGAGGGCTGTTTCAACTGCACTGCCCCGATGCAGGCATGTTAAACGTGCCTGTGTTTGCTGAGGTTCTGGGCCTCACTACGAAAAAAAAAAAGAGCAAGGAGGGGCCAAAAAAAGAGAATTTCTTGTGAGAAGGTGATAGATGGATGTAGAGACATTTTTGCCCTTTGAAACGAAGGTTCACTCAACAGTGCCATCGTCCAGAGCTTCAATAGTTCATCCCAAAATAAACATTTTCTTAAAAATGTACTCAGGCCATCCAAGATGTAGATGAGTTTGCTTCTTCATCAGAACTGATTTGGAGAAATGTAGCATTACATCACTTGCTCACCAGTGGATCCTCTGCAGTGAATGGGTGCCGTCAGAATGAGAGTCCAAACAGCTGATAAAAGCATCACAATTGTCCACAAGAAATTTACACAACTCCAGTACATTAATGTCTTCTGAAGTGAAAAGCTGTGTGTTTTTGCTTGTAAACAGTGCTTGATCTGCATGTGCATATTTCTCTCCTGATTCAGAGTAGACAATTTTTCACAGTATTACGGATAGAGGACTCAACTTTTAGCCGGAAGCAATGGTTTAAAGTTAAAAATGTCTTAATTATGGATGTTACTTCTAAATATGCAACTTTTCACTTTACAAAACATTAATTGATGGACTGGAGTGTGTATTGTGATGTTTTTATCAGCTGTTTGAACTCTCATTCTGACGGCACCCATTCACTGCAGAGGATCCATTGGTGAGCAAGTGCTAATGTGAGTACATTTTCAGCAAATTTAAATTTTTGGGTGAACAATTTCTTTCATCTGTGAAGAACTCAACAGCAGCATGTTCGCTCTCTTTGACTGTTCCCACAGTGACAGCTCGTGCTGGTCACTCACTCGCTCTTCTCCTAAAATACACAATGAGGCATTAGCAACTACAGTCACTGACACAGTACATGGGCTGTGTGCCATCGCAGCTGCAATAGTGGTGGACACGTGGCATTTGTGGTTCTTTGTGCTCCGCGCGTGCCCAAAACATCTCTGCATGTAACCTCAAACACTAAGCCAGAGCAGATGACCACTCTGAGGCCTAAAATAGACTGAATTAAAATGAACTTCTATCCATGTTGGAATCTGGTCCAAGTGGCCAATACATTGCCTTACTCTGTCCATGTGTGAGCTAATGTGCTGTGCATGCACTATACATGCTCACCAAGGCTGCATTTATTTGATAACAAATACAGTAAAAACAGCAATATTATGCAATTTTATTATAATTTGAAGTATAACTTTTTTCTTTTTAAATCTATTTTTTAAATATAATTGATTTCTCTGCTGTCAAACCTGAATTTCAGAAGCCATTATTCCACTCTTCATTCTAATGCTGATTTGGTGCTAAATAACAACAACAGTTGTTGCTTAATATTTTTGTGGAAACGATGATGCATTTTTTTCAGGTTTCTTTTATGAATAGAAAGTTCAACAGAACAGCATTTATTTGAAACAGAAATCTTAACATTTTAAATGTGTTTACAGTCACTTTGATCAATTTTATGCACCCTTGATGAATAAATGTATTAATTTCTTTCAAAACAAAAATCTTACTGACCCCAAACTTTTGAATGGTACTTTATGCCTATTAAAAAAAAATAAAAAACTTTAGCAGAGACAAAACTTCTTCTGAGAAGTAGCATTTTGTGAGATGAAGACCTAATGAACAAATTCAAGACATTTCCTTTCAGTTAATCAACAAAATAGCTTTTAATGGGTTTGTTTTCCTATATGTTAGACAATAGATAGACTCCACCCAGCCTCTGAACTCTGGTGTGGGCGCTGTACATTGTGTACCCTCTGCTCCATACCATCAAACAGGACTTGCTTTAGAAGTTTGAACAAAAACACAGATATTTGACAGGGCATCTGTCATCACGTCACTCTGACAACTAAAGAGTGTTCTGAACCAAAATACTAAGCTTGACTATTTTATGTCAGATTCCCATGACCATTTGTCTTATGACCAAGTTATGCAATGCATATACGTTTACTGAAACACCAAATCTGAGTCACATTTAGATTTTTTTAAGCTCAGTTTGAAAAAAAGCAACCCTTTTTTTTGCACGCAATACGTAAGAAAAAAAATGATGAGCAACATTTTCTTCCGTTTGCATGAGCTGAAATGTTTCCTGGTACATGAGCTGGAATTTTAATGAAGTGGGTCTGCATATTCTCTAAATTATATACTGTATGTCACCTGACTTTGCATACAACTGTGCTGAAAGATTAGCATGTGCGGACATCCAGTGGCTCTTTACAATAGAATGTTAAACTTTCCAGCAAGCATTTGACATGGTGACTTTAAGATAACCCTCCTTACACTCATTTAGATTAGCTTGTGCATTGTTTCAATCTCAGAGTAAATATTTACCTTCCGGAGTGTTGCAGTTATCTTAAAAGACCAGTCTAAATACAATATCCCAGTAATGCACAGTGAGAGGACTAACATAGTGTTTAAAAATATACAAATTATATTTATCATAATGAATAATCAAATGCACGGTATATGCATGTTGGGTGCTAAACAAATGCCTGTTTTTCTCATTCACTCATTACCACCGCCTAGTGGATAAACGGATGTACTGAAGCTACATTATATTACTGTACATGCAAATTTAAGAGCTTGAAGTTTTTTTTCTTTCTCAATCCTTATTTTGTTACTTTTCTAATCTAATTTTCACACTCACGTAAAGAAATGGTTCACCCAAAAATGAAAAGTTGCTGAAAATGTACTCACCCTCAGGCCATCCAATATATAGATGAGTTTGTTTCTTCATCAAAACAGATTTGGAGAAAATTGGCATCACATCACTTGCTCACCAATGGATCCTTTGCAGTGAATGGGTGCCGTCAGAATGAGAGTCCAAACAGCTGATAAAAACATCACAATAATCCACAAGTAATCCACAAATGTCCAAATTCAACGTTTAAGTGTTTGAACTTTAAACCTCTGCTTCTGGCAAAATATGAGTGCAAACACACAGCTTTACACTTCACAAGATATTAATTGATCGACTGAATTCATGCTTTTACCAGCTGTGTGGACTCATTTGACACATTCTGTTTGCACAAATTAATTAGTCAAATAGTGAATGGTTTGTTAATGTACGTTAATGCGGTCTTCTAAGCAGTGTTATTCTTACCAGTGTGAAATTTCCACATGCTCTCAATTGACCTGTATGTCAACAGAGCTCAATCACTGCCTTCATTTGAACAGGGGAACAAAGTGTACCCATCCCACAGTCAATGCATCCAAAACAAACAGCCTCCCAGGGTGCAATCAAAGATACATACCGTGACCTTGACACCTTACTGTCTTACTGGACTAGCACATCTTGCACATGCTTCTGTCACCTCTTTGGACCCCACAGGAGGTTTTAAGTAGCAGTGGGGCCTCCATAGAGAATCTGCAATGTTAGGAAAGATCCTGCTCGTGTGTGCCATCTGCGGAGGAAGGGAATGCAAAAAAGAAAAACAAATGTCTAGTGTTATAAGGGGCTTCATATTAATAGGCTTTGAGGAAACAGTCTGGCCAGAGAAAAAGAGAACAAAAAACAATAATGTTTCTTTATTTGAATTTACACTTTCCATGCTGTTATGTGTAACATTTTTTGCAAGATGAAAATTCAACATAACTTGTACAGGTGCATCTCAATAAATTAGAATGTCATGGAAAAGTTCATTTATTTAAGTAATTCAACTCAAATTGTGAAACTCGTTTTGCCATTTCCTACATTAGTATTAATATTTTATTTAAATATAAAACTGAATGTGTTAAGTTTTGCAAAAATATAAAGTGAAATGTATAACACAAACCAAGGAGATATGCTTAATACGCATAATAAAATTTCAAAAATGCATAAATTAATTTGAGCAAAATAATTGAAATCTTGCTTACCGTATATGCTTCCTCATTCATCCTTTTTAATAAAGCACTGAGCACTTACAGTAAATATGGTATTTTAGTTTTTGCTTTCATTGTTGGATATCTTTTTAAATAGCATTTTAAATTTGCTTCATGATTCATATGACTAATTATTATCTATCTTCCAATAGATGTGCATGCACTTTTTCCCCAAAGGACTGTTAACAGTTTCATGCATCATTATTTAATGCCCATCATCTGTAATAAATTACAAAGGAAAAATATTTTTGTTGCATGGACCATGCTAGAATTTGAAAAGCTTTTTGTTTGCACAGTAAAAAAGCACATGTGCCAGAAGTTTACGTTTAACGGCCTGATTGCTTGCAGATTTACTGTTAATTAGCCGCATGGAAGAAGAGCCCGAATTCCATGCCAGGGCAAACGAGATATATTGGCATCTCTGCTGTGGTCCAACCTGAAGCAAGCTCTTAATAAGCACTTCAGATAAGAGAGTGTGCAACTGACATGCATTGCACAACACCGCCTGTCAAAAAACACTTAGATAAGGATACACTGACACTGAGAATGTTAGTTTCTTACACATTTTAAGACAAAATAAGAATTAGCATTGCAAACAAAAGTATACTTGAAGAAAACTGCATTCATTTTAAACTGCTGCTGAGGAAAGGGATCAACTCTTGTACAGCAATTTTGTAAATAAACTGAGGAAGGAAACAGCGACCTCCTCAGGCCGTAATGAGACACTGCCGGCTGGCGTCTCTGCTGTCAGTATTCAGTGGGAGGGTACTGTAGACAGCAGCAGCAGAGCTTCGGAGCTAAAACCAACGTGACAGACTGGAGTCTTAATAACACCAACCGATCCAAGAGCAGCACTTCCAGAGAAACCCTAATACTGCATATGGAGACTACCAGTTGCCATTTGTCGACTGCTGCATAAGGATAACGACTCAGCCGGCTCGACAGCAGCGAACGCAAACCGCAGTGGATGTTGTTGCATTGTTCACGTGAAAGGAGAAAAATCGGTGGTTTGCAGCGGATCCGCGTGCAGTCGACCGGAACCGGACTCTGTTGTTGATTTGTCATAATGTTTTATCACGGGATGCATCGTTACGCTGGATACCGAATTTAGTAGAGTCATTGCATCACGTTGGATTCACCAGCCCCGTGTTGAACTTGGCCTGTAGAGCAAACAGCACGATGAACGCGTAGCTCTGCTAAATCTATGGAATTTGTGTTTTCTGATCATTCGGTTTCCCAGCCGTGATTCTTTTTTGTCTTTATAACTATTTGGCGATTACCTCTCTTAAATTATTCGCTCGGTCAACTCAAGCAACTGCAGCTGTCGCTTTGTCTACATCAGAGGGGAATGGAGATGACGATACGAAAGGTAACGTTATTCGTTGGCCAGCCAGCCCTCCTATTTTTATACTCGGCTTGTTTATTATAGGTTGACAGGCATACCATATTAAATATCCATTGTGTATTATAGTCTGGTATGTGTATTCGCAACCGCTTCCTGTTCAAAAAACGCTATTAAACGCGCGCGGCATTATTTTAAGAATGAGCTCGATACCAACGTTCGCCGTTACTTGACAACTTTTCAAAAGCGTCGCTGATAGCTTCTAATATTTTAAATGTATCAAAAATGCAAAATACTCCAGATATTATTTGAGTTTTGTGCTGGTCTTTTGCTGGAGAATTACAAAAATCCCCCAAATCTCAGCTGGCCACCCCACGTAACCAGGGCGACTCGTCTCGCGACCCCCGCGTGCGCAGTAGACGTGTTCATCTACCATTACACGGGTTTGTTTTGTTGACATTTTGAGGCACAACATTTTATTTTTTATATTTATACGATTGAAACTGAACACCTGTGAAAGCCCAGCAGTCACACGCACTGAAACCCGAGTTAGCAAAAGGCTTCGAAGTAGCTTACGCTTGCATTGAATAGAGTCAACATTTGTAGCTGCTTTAAACGTTAATACTGAAAATTTAGTGCTGTTTAAACGTATATTTTAGTTGAAACATTAGCTAATATGTATTATTTCTCACATAAGTGATGCTGTTATTATCATTTTTAAAATGCTTATTAGAATGGAGAACTGCTTTTAATGCTTTTGAACCAGGAAACATAAAGTGTTCGTGTGTGCAATTAATATGTTCTTTATGTCTCTTGTAGTAAACCTGGACCTGGTTTTTTGGTTTCGGAGCCAGGTTTCCTGCACTCTGAAAGTCTGAAGAATATCAAGGCTCCTTTCCCTCTTGCAGTCCCTTATGCCCAATGACGGCTGTCTCCGGGTCACTGCAGGATGGATGAAGTGGATTTGACAGTTTTTGTCTGTCACCATCAGTGCTTGCCTCTCAGTGACTGTGTCTTGTTCTTTTACGTTTATAAAAGAACACCTCCTCTCTTGGGCTCTGGCCCCTTACACTGTAAGAGTAACTGTTAGTAAGGAATACCCCACGGAGGGGGCCTTCCAGCAAACTCTGTGGTTCACGTGAGCTTTTATTACTTTTTTCATAGGCTTTTTGTGCCACAGTCAAAAGCTGAAGGAGGAAATTTCCGCAAAAGGTCAAGGTTTACATTTGAGTTTTTTCACAATCATTTATTTATACATTTAAGTTTTAATTTTTTTTCCCTGGAGAGATGTCGTCGGAAAATCCCAACAAGGTGGTGACCTTCTTGGCCCCTCCACCTCCAAAGAATGTGAACGGCTCTGGTTCGGACTCACTGGTGGGTGAGAAGCTAGACACGGAGGTCAGGAAACGACGCCACACCATGGATAAAGATCTGAAGACAGCTGAGCACAGATTTTTTAGGCGTAGCGTCATCTGTGACTCCAATGCCACAGCCCTTGACTTGCCCAGCAAAGCCTGCATCCTCACCTCGCCTCCGGACTGCGAGCAGTTCATTGTGCCTGTGGTGCTGGGTTCGGCCCCTGATGTTACCATTGACACCCAAGTAGGTGTTTCAGGTGTCGTATTGGAAGAACATGCAGAGGATGGAAGAGCTGCAGGGGTTGATGGAATTGTGGAGGTACAGAGCCCATCTGTGCAGGATGTGGGTGCGAGGCAGAGCGAGGCCCTTGGGATGGCGGAGAAGGAGCCCAGCGATGTGGGCAACAAGGAGCAGGAGAGCGGAGTAGCAGACAAACGTGAGGAAGAAGAGGAGGAGAAAGGGGTGGCGAGGGCCCGTGCTGAAGCTGAGCAGAGAGAGGCTGAGAAAAAGGTTCAGGAGGATGAAGAAGTGGAGACCAAAGCTGTGGGCACCTCACCCGATGGTCGTTTCCTCAAATTTGACATCGAGATTGGACGGGGTTCGTTCAAAACCGTCTACAAGGGCTTGGACACGGAGACTACGGTGGAAGTAGCGTGGTGCGAACTTCAGGTAAGAAGCTACCATGTTATCAACTATGTTCACCTTTCATTAATTGCAGAGGATGTCTATGTTGTTTGATGTGAAGTCTTCAAAGTGCTCCTGTGAAACACAACAGAGCGATCAATTCAAAAATAAATGCCAAGCTTACAACAGGAAGTCATGTTGGTGTAACTTGTTTGTGCAGTTTTGTGGTCATGGTTCTTATGGTGCCCCTACAGGACGTGGGTGAAGAACAACTTTGGTGAAGTTGCAGGTTAGGCCCAAAACATACTGTATACGTGTATGTAGTGTGATCCTGTGTCATGCATGGTCTTGTTGTACATGCTTATTCAGATAGTTAGCTGTAAAAATGCCAACATGTTAACCAACTGAGTCAACAAAGTTCTCTTCAAACCGTTGCTCTGCCATTACAGTAGTTGACCTGAAAGATAAAATGAAGACATTTTACGCTTGTACATCCTATAGCACCACCTGCAGCAATGCTGACAATGCAAAGCACAATTGTATTGTCATATGAATTCCTGATAAAGTCAAACTTGCATATCAGGAAGTGGTTAAATTCATATTTTTCTTCAATGCAGATGTTAGCTTGATTTATATCGTTCATTGTTGCATTCAAAAATTAGACAGATCGCAAATTTAAACCGTTTAGGCTACATGTTGCATTTTCAGTGCTGCCACAAGGGGCAGTATAGTGTTAGCGCAATTGATCTCAATCTTTTTGACTCAAAGCCCCCTGAATTAATAACAATTCTTTTTTTTTAATTCTAGAAGTTTCAAGAACTGCATATTAATACAATTAATAATGCAATATTAATACAAATTGTGTTAATAATAATCTATTAATTTAAATAATTTTGAATAATTCTGCTGCCTTCTTGTTGAGAACCACTGTATTTACGTCTTTTTTATTTTTATTTTTTTGCTTTTGAAGTTTTTGCTTTTGACTGTCATGGCAGAGCATGTTAGTTAACGTCAATATGTTAACAATAACTTATCCAAGTAATATCACATCTGATTTATTGGCACAGACACCTTGAATACTGAGGTTTGTTACTTCCAGAGCATTGCAAGGGTTCAACTGGACATTGTGTTGGTCACACACTCACATCTACATTCATGCACTTGCAAAATGTTATTTGCATTGATTAGCCTGTTACTCTCATGTATTGACAGAGCTATTTTAGTTTCAAACCAAGAGTAGTTTTACATTAGGCCAGAGTTGTTGTTTTTTTTTTCTTTTTTTTTTTTAAATAACACCTTGACATCTAAATCTGACAAATTGGGTCTTGGCAAGTGAAACTCAGTTGGATCTCATTACATACAGGCTCGAGCGTTTCCTCTAAATATCACAAGACCCTCTGTGTTCGTCCTGGTATCTAGTTTCTACTCAGTATAGACCTTTCGTGGAGCAAGTATAACTGCACACAGATAAAGATGGATTGTTGTTAGTTGCCTGGTGAAGGTCCTTGTGCACAAACTGAAGTGTTATACACACCGGGCAGACTGATATCAGACTGTTTTAGTAATTCCTCCCAAGCGCTCATAGATTTAAACCATTACATAAACATGTCAAAGCACATACAGATGAAAGTGTGCAAAATATTTAGTGCGGGTGGGGTGGAAGACTGTGGAATGTAAGAGCAGATGGTGCCAGTGACGTCAGGACGAGAGGTTTGAACCGATGTGCATTGGTGGAAGCAAAGTAGCATTATGAAGTGTGGACACTTGCTAAAAGGGGGATGTGCTCTACATTTAAAGATGGATCAAGGCCTTTAGACCAACTCTAAGTAATTCAAGGGTCAAAGGGCAAGCAGGAGCAGAGGTCTGGCCACTGGAAACCCAGAGATTGCTTTGACAAAGGAAGGGCACAGGAAAAGAATCAAGGGGTGAGCAATGCTAGGACATCAGGGAGGGTTGCTTTGTGTCCACCCCCACTCTCTCTCTCTCTCTTTTTCACTCTCTCTCTTTCATTTTCAGGATGCTTTAGTAGTTGGAAAGGATTTGAAGTCCGTAAAAGAGACTTTTCTTGGATGTGGAAGAGGAAAGAAGCTTATCTAGTCAACTTTAATGAGACATGATCAGACATCTAAACTGCTTTATTTCCCAGAGCTGATTCATCTGCCGAGCTTGTGTTTTCTCGCATTTGAGATCACTTGGAAATTAGTTTCTTTCCATGGATTGACTCAAACGTTTCTTCCTATTTGTCTGAAATTCTAATGTTCTCCAGTTCCTCCATTAGGATGCAATTATTATGTATTTAGTAGCAAGTTACTTAGAATTGTGCTATCAGTTGTTTGAATAGTGGCTTTAGTTACCCAGCATGCATCAGTAAATCCTTATCACTCTGAATATTTTTATTGGATTAAAAATGGGTCTCTCTTGTCCTCATAGCCTTGGTATGTGTTGAATCATAGATGAGCTAGTAGGATGACAAAGGCCGACATCCCCCCTATTCATTCCTCATGGATTCAGGGAGATGCGAGCAAGGGCTGTCCTAATGGGAGCCGAGGCATCCCTTTACGCTTTTGTTTTTCTATTCAGCTGAATTATAATAGTAAAGACATGAAAGGGCGAGCAAGAGCTAAATGCACTGTGATGAATTCAGTCCCCCCTCCGTCTTTTCACTTCATTCCCATCTATCTCTCTGCCAAATGTTTTCCTAAAATGCCAAATAGTTACAGAGCTGAAACAAAGCAGGGTGCAGTCATAATATTTTGGATGGGATGTTAATCTTCACTTAGCAAGCACCATATAGTATTACTCATACTTGGTTAACAAACCCCTGACCCTCAGTATTAAACGTTGGTGTGTAATTTGTCCTGCACAGTTTATATAAACGTTGATGATACTTCAAATTGTGTGGCCTGTTAAAAGAGAGATTTGGTGATTTGGCTTATAAATTTCAGATGATAAAACCATTGAATAAAAGCAAGTACCACTTAGTGTGTAAGCTGGTTAGCATCCACTTCTCCAAACATTACACACTTTTTTTTTCTTCATGAGCTTTTCCAGCAGATGTAAGGAATGGAAACCACTTGCAATTAGTTGTCTAAACATGTGCACACACTCACACAGGGTCCTATGTCCATACATTTACTCGCTTCACAAATGTATACTCTGATCCAGATGCAAGTTGTTGACTGAGGTTTTGACCCTAAACTGTTTAAAACCGTGCGGCTGTCGCGCCATCAGCCTTATCACCATATGCTAGCTGTGAGATAGCACAGTGCAAGAATTTGTGCAGGAGGTGGCTAAACACCGGGTCGGTTTAAAAGAGACATGCCCCAGAGAGAGTGTCGTCATCTGTGAATAATGCAGAGGATGTTAGGGGAACAGTTGAGGAAGAAATCCAATCCCATGGATCCCAGCCATAGCCGTTTCCCTTTTCATTGTTGAAATCCATTTTTTTTCCAAAGGAGTGAGAAAGACAAAGACAGGAGCAACGCTTCCTTTATTTGCAAGCACTGATCTCCTTCCTCATTTACAGTACTGGCCTGTGTGTATGTGTGTTTATCCATTGTGTCTTACACGGGCTGGAAGGAAAAAAAGATGTCATTGTAAATGGAAATATACTGAGGGCTGTGCCATTTGTTAGATGCTATCTGATTTGGCATTAAGTTTCACTTGCGCTGTTTTATCTCCACTTAATGTGAATTTGATGGTTTTTTTCCTAGGTAATCTTTTTTTAAACCTCTACAGTTGCACAATAACAGAAATGTGTACGCAAAGCAGAAAATGTGTGCATTCAACACATACTCTTACAGCTCTTTCCTTAAAGAGATTCTCTTGTCTTTCTTGCCTTCCGCTTAAGTTTGGAGGCCGTTGCGGTTTCACTTCTCACTAGATTCATAATAAATCTATTTCCTACTACTGAGTCTGTCAGTTCCTCTCAGCCTTGCTCCATGTGATAACTTGACATTTGCTCTGTAAAGCATTTTAAACTTTTGTAGCATTTTATTTTTTTCTCTTAATGAACACTGATTATATGTTAATGGCTGTGATGTCAGTACCATGACATTTTTGAATGCAGCTTACTTCCAACAAATGGTTTGAGTAGTGTATCACAAGAAGCAAGTTATGCCGAGTTCACATGGCATGATTTTCAAAGACGTCGCATCACTGTTGGTTTCACACTGAACGACTATCTGGGGTAGCATTCAGTTGTTGCTGTGTTCACACTGCACGATGGAACGACGACAGGAAGTTACACACTGCATGACTTTACAATGGGGAGAATCACCGATAACTCTGTCTGGTGCAGGGTTGGCAGGTTTTCGCTACAAAACCAGCCCAATTACTACTCAAAACTAGCCTGAAAATAGCCCAATTGCTTTCGAGGGGGTCCCCCAGTAAAAGTCGTGTTCGGGGTGTAAAATACAACTTTTTTTTTGGCGGGGTTCTCCTGGTACAATTCACATTCCAGGGCCTAAATATTACGTTATAGGGGTTCAACCCTATAGGGGTTATAGGGGTTCAACCTGCTGACATGAAAAACAACTGGCGGCAATCGCGGATTTGGCAACACTGGTCTGCAAACTACGTTTCATATAACTCCTCCCCGAACTTCCCGCTGCCCTGTATCCTGTTCTCTCATTGGCTGTAGGTCATCGCCGATGTGTTTTTCAGTCAGAACTCATTTCACACAGCAGGATTGTGAATCGCCGACAGCTCCAGATATTTAGCATGCCAAATATTTCACGGGCG